ACGGGAAAATGCTCTCTTTCTCTCTCCCTCTCTCTCTCTCTCTCTCTCTCTCTCTCTGGCATGTAAGAACACACAACTTCTGGCAATTTCAGAAGAAATGAAAAAGCTCAACCAACTCTCAAAATAATAGAGAAAGGAGATGAAGTCCAGAAGATTCCAAAAGTTAGGTTAACGTGCATCTGCCTCTCATTATTGCTAATAAAGTTTGATTTAATTCATGTTCTGCATTGGGAGAAACAAAACTAAAAGGGCGAAGGGCATGGAGGTCAGATAGACTTGGCTTCAACTATTTTCTTATTCTTCTCATCATCCACTCAGAAACTTGTATAGATATAACAAATTTCCAGAGAAACCATCTATCATTGTCGCTATCACTGATATTTTTAATAACAAGGTAGAATAATAATCTATATTAGTTTCACATGATCTGCCCTAAACAAACAGAACATAACTTTAATAAACAGTGCACAGATATTCTTTGTAGTAGTTTCTTCGGAAATCCCTTGAAAATAAAATAAAAATAAAATACAAATCTTGAAAGTCTAGCATTTTCTTTTCTTTTTCTTTTTTTTTTTTTTAAGAGAGAGATTTTTGCTAACGGGTGTATGCACTCACTGAAAAAAGAGAGAGACAGAAAGACAGAAAGCAAGAAATTACCCCCAATGGGGGGATGGTCACATCGCAATCCCTTCTCCTTCATTCTTCTCTCTGGATCTTGGGCATGCATGCACACGTGACCGGCTTGAGTTTAAGCCACCGGGTTCAGGACTTGAACCCCAGTCAACTACATGGGAGTCCAGTGACATAGCCATTATGCTAACTGCTGGTCCCAGATACTCTTTTTTATATGTTGTTGGATACGATTTTCTCATATCTTGAGAATTTTTGCATCTGTATTGACCAGAGATATTAGTCTGTAGTTTTTCCTTTCTTGTTGTGTCCTTATTTGTTTTAGAAATGAGGCTGATGATCCCTTCTCCTCCATTCCCCTCTCAGGATCGTGGGCACGCACGCACATGCACCCCGCATGAGTTTAAGCTACCGGTTCCAGGACACAAACCGAGGTTGACTACATGGGAATCCAGCACCATAGCCCTTACGCCATCTGCTGGTCCCCCAAGTCTTACAGTTTCTAATAGAAAAACAAATAGTATATTCCACCTTTAAAAAAATAGAAATGACATATTGCCCTCAAGATTTTTGTTTTTGTTTTTTTTGGTTTTTGGTTTTGTTTTGTTTTTGTGGGTTTTCTTAGTATTTTACCCATAGGGCACATGTGTTCACAGGAGAGAGACAGAAGGAAAGTGAGAAATCAGAATGGCCATGCCGTAATCCCTATACATCTCCAATCTCCTCTTGGGATTTTAGGCACACACATACACACATGCCCAGCATAGTTTCTGGAACTGTGGAGTTGGTGATATTGGGTCCTGCACCTTAACCACCACACCATCTGCTGGCACTTCCCTCAAGTTAATGTGAACATTTTTACTAATTTCACATGACACTCATCTTCACATAAAGAAACAAAAACAATACAAACACAAAAATAATTCCAATTACTTGTGTACATTGGTGAATCCTGAAACTTATAGAAAAATCATGCACTATAAAGACATTACCTGACTAGCTTCATGGCCTAGTGGATAAGGGATCCAGATCCCCTAAGGCTGACCATAGTTAAAGTCCTATCCCCAGCACCTTGAAAAACAATATGTGCATGTGCATGCGTGCCCCAAATTCCAACAGGGTAGAGAGAAGGAAGAGAAGAGATTGTGGAACCACACTTCACTAGGGGATCCTTTCTCTTTCTCTCTATTTCCCTGGACAGCACATGTACCTTTTGGCAATTAAACGAAAAGAATTTTAAGTATAATATACAGAGAGTTGAATTACTGAACTTCTGCAGAAGAAAAATCAGAGGCATCCTACATTTTTTCAGATTAATATACAAAACAAAACATGTACATATGCAAAATATACTTACAGACATCATACAGAAGAAAGTAGAGAATAAGTATAAATTTTAAACAAAAACATTAACTCAGAAAAGGCACTAATAATACAATTTTTAAACATCACTATTGTCACAAAATAGATTCTTCTCATTATTATGAATCAAGAGTGCTCTACATTTTCTCCCTTGATTAAAATGTTACAGCTTTAAAAATGTTAATGAAGACTGCCCAGTGGCATGGTGGTTACGGTGGATCCCACATGGTCAACCGCATGGGGCTTAAACATGCTGGGTGTACGTGAGTCATACTCAAAATTCCAAAAGGAGGGAGAAATGGAGAAGTGTTCACAGTGTCACTGTCCCTTGTGGGCAGTACTTTGTTCTCTCTCTCTCTCTCTCTGTCTCTCTCTTTTTCTTCCTTTTTCCCCCCCCCCCCCGCCCCGTCTCTGTTCCTGTCTTTCTTTCTCCCCAGGGAGTGTACACATCCTCTGGCAAATTAGAAATTTAAAAAAAACAAAAAGGTAATGAGACCTAGTCAGCACAAAGTAAAATTCACAATGTCTGGAATTTCATCTAAAGTTATCAGACATGCAAAAAACAGAAAATTCTACTCAAAATGAGAGGATAAATGAATCAATTCAAAGACACAAGTGGCAGAATTAGCTGACAAGTACATTAAAACAGTAATATAATGTATTCCATATGTTCAAAATGTTAAGTACATACATAAAAGATCTGAGAAAAAAGATCCAAATTATACTTATGGTGTCAAAATCTACACTGCCTAAGATGGAAAAGTATACTGGATAAGATTAAAAGCAATATAGACAACATAGAAGAAAAGATTAGTAAACTTGAAGACATAGCCTTAGAAACTAACCAAAATAAAACAGAAAAAGGACAAGAGGGAAAAAATGACCAGAGAGGCTCTTAACAAAATAAGCACAATTTCACAATAGAACCTAAAATATGACAAGATTTCCTTAATATTAACAAATACCTTCTCTAGGTACAAATTTCTCAGATTCTCTCATAATTTTAACTGTTGATATTCAAATCCAAGCAATATCCACTTGGACATATCCTAAATTGCTAATCCTCACAAATCTCATAGAATTTATTCCCACAATCAATTACCACTTTTTCATCAGTAAAAGATGGGAACAGGAGAATAGAAGGATGAGTCTTTTGCTAACCATTGGTCCAGAAAGACCTCCTCACAAGTTCAGGCCCAAATTCAGAAGCTAAGATACCACCTTCTTACTCTTGGCACAAACGTTCACTGGTTTATAAATTTTTAAATTAATGAACAGATAAAATTTTATTTAGAAACACTGGGCCAGCCTGTAGCCTCGTGGTTAAGGTGGCTGGATCCCACATAGCTAGCTGACTGTGTGGTTAAAGTCCTGCACCCACTGGCTTGAAAAACATGCTTTGCACATGTGTGTGTGTGCCCCAAATCCTGAGTAAAGAACAGAGAAGAAGGGACTGTGGTGTGGTCATCCCGTAAGGGGTGCTTTGTCACTTTCTCTCTTTCTCTTTCTCTCTCCAGTGAGTGCATGCACTCTAAAACAAATGAAAAAAATATATGCAACTGAAAATATATATTTAATATAAATGATATGCTTCTTTTCATTTACTTGTAAGATTTCTTATAAAAATTTTATGGCAATATGGACACAAAACATTGAGCCAGAAAGAGAACACAATTCTATTAAAAGGTCTTTCTGGGGACCAGCAGTTAGCATAACTATGTCGCTGAACTCCCATGTAGCCGACTGCAGTTCGAGCCCCGGACCCAGTGGCTTAAACTCACGTCAGGCACGTCTGCATGCATGCCCAAGATCCCAAGAGGATAATGGAAGAGAAGGGATCATGGCGTGGCCATCCCCCCGCAGGGTGGGGGGAGGTGGGAGGTGATTTCTCACTTTTTATCTCTCTGTCTCTATCTTTCTGGTGAGCGCACGCGCCCTATAGCAAAAATCTCTCCAAAAAAAAAAAGGTCTTTCTGTTTAAATTATTTTTAAATACCACAGATAAGAAGATTTTAAAATGGCTTCTAACCATGGGCCGGCAGATGGTGTGGTGGTGAAGAGAGCTGGATTCCCACATGGCCAACCATAGTTTGAGTCCCGGACCTGGAGGCTTGCTTCCTTGCTTTCCCTTTCTCTCTCCCTGTCTCTGGTCAAAAATTTTTAAAAAAGGATAATAACAACAAATGGAATTAAATAAATAATTTTTTTTAAAAAAAAACTTCTAACCAAATATAATTCTATTTTTATTTACTCTAATCAAATAAGTAAATATAATGCTAGAAAGGTTTCTTTTTATTATTTTATCTCTATTTATTTATTTATTTATTTTAATTTGGCCAGAAAGGGACAGAGTAAGAGAGAGAAAGATAGAGCAAGCTTCCATGTCAGGGACTTGGACCATCGTCGGCCATGTGGGAGTCCAACGCCCTTAACCACCACGCCACCTGCCGCGCTAATACTAGAAAGTTTTAACCTTCCTTGGATTCTATTACAAATGCTACATAATTCCGTTTGGTAAAAAATTTACAAAATTACTTTAAATCATTGAAAACAACAAAAAAAATCAGTAAAACTTTGCAATCTGACAATTGATCTATTTTGAGGCTTTGTTGTATGTAAATCACTCTAAATGGAAACGTTCCACTGCTTAGAAAGATAACTTTCAGGGACCAGCAGTTGGCATAATGGCTATGTCGCTGGATTCTCACGTAGTCTACCATGGTTAGAGTACCGGACATGGTGACTTAATCTCACACTGGGTGCGTGTGCGTGCGTGCCCAAGATCCCAACAGGAGAATGGAGGAGAAGGGATTGTAATGTGGCCATCTCCCCTAGGGGGTGATTTCTCACTTTCTGTCTCTCTGTCTCTCTCTGTCTTTCTGGCGAGCACACACACCCTATAGCAAAAAACTCTCAAAAAAAAAAAAAAAGAGAGAGAGAGAGAGAAAGATAATTTTCAAAAGGTAAGAATAAGAATCACCAAATATTTTTCATGATTTTTGTCATACCTTTAGCTAAAGCTTCTTTATATTTCTCTTTGGCAGAATTCATTTCTTTTATTAATTGTCTATAGCTGGATTTTAATTTCTCTAATTCTGTCTTTGTAACCTGTGAAAGAAACAAATGTAGAAAATTTTTTAAATGTTTAAATTCAAATTGGTCAAGAGTTGAAATCACAAAACATTAACTGATGTAATATTTTACTACTTACAGTTTAAGGTTGTTCTTTAATATATGTTGATAGATAATAAAGTAAAAATTAGTTTAAAATCAATGATAAATAGAGCATGGAAACAGTTAAACTTCTTAAAAAGAAGAGCAAATCAAGAATAACAGTAGCATCTAGAATTTAGTGACCAATAAATTAATTTGCTACGTACAGAAATATTGGGTGTTCAGGAAAGTCATGATGCATTTTTACAGAAAAATATCATGACTTTCCCAACAGCCTAATATTTTCTGTAATTAAAAACTAATTAAAATATTATTTTTCGAGTGCCTTTGAATTATTGTATTTTACCAGTTCTATCATGCCTTTTTTTTTTTTTTGACAATTTAACATATCTGAAAAGCGGATACATTGCATTTACAGAAACAATCGCTGTTGACCAGGAAGCTGTCCTGACAGGAATCGCTGCAAGCCTGCATGAGTACAGTTATTATTTCTATGAAATAACCAAATTCACCTTCTTGACTCTGTAGACAAAAAGCCATTTAAAAATGCTCTGAGGAAAAATATGAGTTCCAGATGTTTTCTGCAGTCTTCTAATATACCTTCGTAGAAGACTAAGGAAATGAAAGCATCAAAGACTTGAAGAAGAGGCATCAGCAACTTGGTGGAAGATCCTAGCCTCTCCTTCAAGATACTCCGCCTCACCCTTTTGTGAGGCCACAGAGAATGCCACTGCGTGACTAGACAGACATATCAACAGCTATCATGTAACTATAAGTGAGTTCGAGTAATTCTCCTCTCAAGAAAAAAACTCACTGGTAACTTTCTAAGTTTCTAAAAACCCAAATTATTATTCTGAAAACTGGTAACTTGATAAAAGCAAGCAATTATCCAGCCAGTCCTATAGGAACTATACTGTACTTTCGGGAAATCAAGTAGTTGATACTGAAAAACCTTTCTTTAGGGCTAGCCCCATAGTGCAGTGGTGGAGCCCTGTGCATCGGGAGCTGGACCCCGCCTGGCTGACTGCAGTTCGAATCTCAGCCCCAGTGGCTTTAAAAGCCACCAAATACATGTGCATGCAAGCCCAGCATTCCAACGGGAATGAGAAATGGAGAAAACAGAAATGGAGGAAAGAGCATGACCATGCCCCACTGGGGGGAGAGGGGTATACTGCTTTCTCTGTCTTTTCTCTCACTCCGGTGACCGTATGCAGAAAAAAGCAATGTCTTCTTTGTAAAATAATTCCAGCTAGCACTTGCATTAGGAAATAAAGTAAAATACTGCCATCATAAAAACTCAAATAAAATGATGAGGCTAAGAATGAACAGTTTCTAAAACTATTTAGGTGAAAGATTAATAGACCTTTTTAATAAGTTGATTGGGCTGACAACAGTGGAACCTATTACTCAACTTTAACCTCACAAAAAAGTAACCAGGAGACATCATACACCTCCTGATACGAAACAAGCAGAAGCCTGCACCGCTACCTATGATGCGGCCTGTCCCAGACCAGCCAGAATCGTATCTAACTTCTAGTCTAGAGAAAAAACACAGGATGCATGCAGAAATATGTGAAATCATAGCATAAGAAGCTAACAACAAAATCCACAAAGGAAGACATTCAATTCTATAAAGCAAATTGTCATTTCTTTCACATATAAAAAGTATCTTTTAAAAAATCTGTGTTTGTCTTCTGATCTACATTTCTGATCTGAGTTGAGTACTACACCTGGTTTACTTCTTTAACATTTTTTATGTACTCTCTGTAACAACTGTGGTTACAGATATGCAATAATTTGTACAATGGTTTATTCCCAA